TGCCAAGGAAACTGCAGGGACTCCTCTAGGAAATTTCCAAGAGTCAACATTGATTTGAATACATTCACACAAAATAGAAACTAGCACCAAAATCTAAAATACAAGTACTCTGAAATTAAAGGGATTTACTTGTTCCATATTAGACATAACATTGCAGAAAAAATTCCTATACTAAATCGTTTATTAAAAACTATCAAAGGAAAACCCTATAATATTGTTTTCATATTCACTGCTTACTGAGATTACACTCTTACATTTCTTTACTGGTTGATTAATCATGTTTAAAAGATATCCATGTCTGCAATTTTGGGAATTGACACCTTCCTTGAATCAAGCTCCCTTTTTTTAATCTCTGAAAGTACAAAAATAGCAATAAAGTTGGCAAAGAAGTAATTTGATTCACTTTAATCACATTTTAAATGGGTACTTCTACATTCCACTTAGCTAGGACTCCAGAAAAGATGGTGGAATTGTTCCATGAATTACATTGGAACAATTAATTATAAAGAGGAAGAAAAACATTTTATAGCTGGTTCCCAAGTAGAATTTGTTTGCAGAATTAACTCAACCATGGTTATTCAATTCAGCTTTCTAGATTTACATCATATATAAAACCACAAACTAATCATAAGGATTAGATTTTCACAACTTGCTAGGCAAAAATATGATAAGACTATTGTGCTTTATATACACACGTGAAAAGTCAGATATAGCCTTATCAGATCTAACTGAGAAGCCTTCATTTCAGAAGACAATATAATACCTAATCTAAATCAGGAAGAGTTTTAAAAAAACAAAAGAAATATAGGCACACTTGGAACAAGAAAAAAGTTGCCTCCCTAAACACATTTTAAAATTTGTTGGTTTTAATTAGCAAGGGTAGAGTTTTTAAGTTAATGTGTTTAGTCGGTTCGTTTTAATTTTCTTGCTTTCATCATTGCTGTATTCTAGTACTTCCCAAACATGAAAACAATTATAAATTGCTTTACTCTTTCATCTCCTATTGTTATATGACAAATGCTGAGGAACCATGGAATGAATTATCGTTTCCTACCACCAAATAAGCAACTCAAAGAAGGAAAGAAAAACACTTTCATTTTTTCAAAGCTAATAAATTTATTTCGGATTTTTGACATGTGCTGTAGTTAGTATGCATATTAAAGTTCTACAGCATTTATTTATGAAATTTATATATTGCTGCAATTCAGTTGGACTGTAGTAGAACATAATCTTGAACCCTGGTTAAAATACAGTATTTCAAGAAAACTCTGCCCACAGCCTCGAGTTTGATCCTGATGGGGCTCATGGTTGCCTTAGCCTTCCATACTTCCAAGGTCAGTAAAATGAGGACCCAGATTGTTGGGGGCAATATGCTGACTAAGCAAGTTTATAAACTTGCTTAGATAGGGTTGAAATACACTATGAAGCGGTATATAAGTCTAAGTGCTACTATTGCAATTGCTATTGAGACAGCAGCAAATTTGATTGAGTTAAATAGGCCCATTGACTACATTCCGCTTATTTTTTTCCATTCTGATGCTGCAAGTCCTCCTCTTCAGCTCAGATTGAACTCAGCTCCACTATAGTTAGGACATGAAAGTTAGGACAGCTAGGACCGCTCATTGCTCCAGATATAAGGCTCTCATACAGCCCTCAATCCCTTTTCTTAGACTACTCTTACTATTTGTTAGGATTTCAAGACAGTAGAACATAGCAGAATGATATATAAGTTGTGTTCCTGCAACATATTAACCCATAATTAAACAAACCATGGTTTACAGTATTCAAGTAATCCAATTTCTAGATTTGTGCAATGCAAGCCATAAATTAACTACACAGACGAAGTTCATCCCCCATATTTGAATAAAAAGGTTATTAAGGATTCAACATAAATAAACCCAATATATAGTTTATAGTGGCATCTGTGGAGGTAAGGATTGTCAAAATCTGCAGAAGGGAGATAGATTCAATGGCGCAATCTAAACATCAACACTTTTCTACCTGTATTAGTGTTACCTGCACATACAAAAGGGGCAGGGCTTCTATTGTGATGCCAAACACATCATCTTTCAGATAACAGTCCCTGCCTTCCTGTGAACACCCTTGGTACTTTATGATCATCCATATACAGCTTCCTTTATTTCAATGAATTATTTCCTGATGCAGGCCAGTTTTTTTTTAATTGCTTTATCAAAACTTTTGTTCCTTTAATAATTCTAGTGATAGTCAATACTGGAATAAAAATCATGTACATTTGTCCCAAACATCTGCTCTTTGCTAGGGTTCACAGAGTACACTATCATAGGATAGCATTCTTCAAACTGCTATCATGTATGGGACTCACTTTTTCAGAATTATAGCCACTGGCCACGCTAATTGGGGATTTTTGGAGATATAGGCCTCAACCTATCCAGCGGGCATAAGCTGAGGAAGACTACTATGAGTTGTTTATAATGCTTTCCTATCTTCGCAGCTGCCATTCCTCTTTCTGAGGCCTAACCCAGGTGTCAAACTCGCGATCCGTGGGCCAGATGTGTCATGCGCTGGCCATGCCTACCCCGGTTTTAGCGAAGGGGGAAAAAGTCACCATACGTCACGTGACGACAATGTGATGCTGCGAGTTTGATACCCCTGACTTAACTGATTAATGCATTAATCTACTGATTTTCTTCAAACCTATTATATTGAGAACTATGGCACAGTATCTTGTGAACACTTGACAATTTTTACTTATTCTTTTGATTCAACATCACATTAAAATTTGATTTTGCCTTTTCTGATGGACAATGATGAATTATGGAAGAGTGGATAAAACTAATAAAGCAGATCAAGTCTTGACCTGCACATACAATTGAATTGACATATTCCTTTAAGAGCACAGAATGATCCATCTACCAGATGCATTATTGTTCCTATCCTCTGTTTTAACTGACAGCCTCCAATTCAGAGTAATTTGTATGAATGTGTTTGCCATCTCTATAAATGCAAGCCTAGCTACTAAATTGTCAAGAACAGAGGGTTAATGTAGAGAAGTTGCCATAGGCGATTGAATAAAATTAACCCATACTCTGACAGGATGACACTCTGACAATTTAATTGCTGCATCCCATCTATAATTAAATATTGCATCTAAAAGCAATTACGAAGTTGGAAAAAATATAGGGCTAAACCTAGATGCAAGAAAATCACAAACAGCTTTAAGAACACACATCATTATTTTTCAGATGACACAAAGTAAAATACTACAGATGTAATGAAGTACTGTATGTTCCAACTCAATTAATATATGGGATTCAATAAACTGGGAATGAAGATCCTGTGACTCTCAGAGGTTGCTGAATTCCAATTCCCCAAAGTCTCAGCTAAGGTCTAGTGCAGCAGTTCCCTTGGGGATATCAGAGACTCTTTCTGGGGTGGGGGGGAGGGGGTATACAAAGCCAAATAAATATGTTAACATTTCTCAATTTTAATTTCTAATTCAGTAGTACAATAGTGGTAGATATAACTCATATAAACCAAAATTCAATCATTGTTAAGTATGTAAAGGAGTTCTGAGAATGAAATGTTTGAGAACTGCTAAGAACATAGGTATCCATTAGAAGGCACATGATGAACGTTGTGATGCCTTTTATATGCATTATCTCTAATGTTCATAAGGGATAGAAACTTGAATTACAATACTATTTTGGTCATTTTGATGAAACCATTGGATGCTGTGGATGCCTCTCTCTGGAGTGCACAAGTCCCTATGCTTAATGTTTAGGGCCTAGCATTCTTATATAAAAGTGATAAGAAACCTGTGACCTCCTAAGTATTGCTGAATTAGAAATCCAGGTTTCTTTCATTACTGCCCAAGCTACCTCTAGATTTCTGTGCTTGCTGTAAGACCATCTTTATTCTTACACCAGTCAATTATGGGGTTCAAGCACACCTTTAATTTACATTGGTAATACAAAGTTGCCAAGGTCACGCCGCTAATGCTCAAGCCTCACCTGTGGGATTATATTTCTCAAGAAACTTTCCAAAATTTCAAATCAGATGTCTTCTGGCAGTAGCACAAATACCTCGGATTATAGGCTTTATAGGTCTTGAACAGCTATTTATTTTATTAATCACATTTATATGACCATCCATGATCCATCCCACAAGAAGCAACTCTGGGTGGCATTTGCAACACTGTAAAGCATGATCACTGAGTAGAACTTCTTTGCCTAGAAGCAGAATAGCTATCTATTCATGAGCTTTCCAAGAGTATCTGTCCGAGTCAAGCTGAAGATAGAATGTTGGGCCCAAAAGACACTTCTGTTTCATGAGTGCCTTTTGACCATTAGGTCCACTTGCAAATATGTTAATGCAAGGTAGACAGCAAAAGATAAAAGCCTTCAACTGAGCTCATGCAGATTTTACATTGATATTTAAGGACAAGCGAATCCAAACTTCACTTTTTGAAATGCCCATAAGTAACAGCTGAAAATACAAGAGAGAAGAAATATCCTTACTACGAAGCTCGTGAAAAGAACAGTGAGCAGAACTCAGCTAAGGCAACACCCCCTTTCATTTCAAACTTCCTTTCAAATTGATATCCACCTTCACAGCAGGGTTGAAAAAATATATGGCAGCTCCTTTAGCTGAAGAAATATGGTATCTCTCTAGGTTTATGAGCTCTGAGTTTTATCTTACAGGATTTGGACCATGTGCTCACTTTCAGTTTTCTGTGCTCTCTGTCCTTTCCTTTGAGGCAGTTAAGGTCACAGCTGCTTGACTATACAATAATCCAGTGTTTGAGCAGACATTTATTTTTAAACTTGTCCACCCAGAAAGCCAGAGTTAAAAAAAGAAAGAAGGCAAAATGAACACTCTTTCAAAAGTTACAGTGTGGATTTTTAAAAAATTCAATAAAATATTTTTGAAGGAAAGAATTGTAATGTAGTTTTGCAAGGAATATTTAGTTTGCAAGTGAGGTCAAGAGACAGAGCTAACCGTTTTTTTTTCCTACCCAGATGCTTAAAAAATAAGAATTCCACATCAATCCAATATCTCCATGCTGTGAGAATGGAACAAACCTAGGGGGAAAGTATAATATTCCAAGAAACTGCAGCACTGTACAACAGTGGCCTCATGCCTGATATCTTTCAAACACATCAACCGCTTTGTCCATTGGAAGATGATTCTTCATCCAAAACGGGGATGAAGATGTTCACTTGGGGCTCTTAGTAAACTTTGTTATAACATTCTCTCATTCTCTCTTTGTTCTTTGTTTTATTACAGAAAAGCAGTCCTGCTGCAGTGGGACCTGTCATCCATAGTAAGCATGTTTCTCTGTAGAGCATAAATGCTGATCTCTAGCACTTTCCAGCATAGTGGCTGGTAACTAATTTACAGATATATGACTAAGCTAAGTTTCATTCCCCAATCAAGGTTTGCTGAGCTATGGCTTGGTTCACACAGAATTCTAAACATCACTTTCTTGTCCAACATTATTATTGAGCTCATGCATCATGAGAGGCAAAAATAAAAGCTCATCCTATTATGGCTCAATGTAATATATCTTTCCCCGGTTGAAAGCCACCCTAGATGATTTTAATCAGTCTCTTTCAGATTAAACTCCTAACTAAACTCACGGAATTTTCAAATAAGATAGCGTGGACAATACATATTGCCTCAGGCTCTTTATCTCCTAGTTAGTCACTGATTTTATTTTCATTTTTTTCCCTGGATACCATCAGCTGTCACAAGCCATTATAAATCTGGATGTGAAAAGTGCAGGCACATTAGCTCCACATAAGGAAGGGAAGTGCGGTTTGGAAAACTACACACATAAACACAATATCAGATCTCCCCATTAGGCTGTGAACAGATAGCGTAGCCATTCCCAACCACGTGCCCTCCACGGCTAAAAATCAAATACGGCTTAAAAAAAAAAAAAAAACCCCAAGCGGGGAAGCGCATTCTGGCAATACATCTGTCCATAACTCTCTATGCAAAATTCGTGCTTATTCTGCAAAATTCGTGCTTATTCTGGCACTCCCCCCAGCCTCCCCCCTTTGCTCTGGTGTCTCCTCAGCTAATTACTAACTCGTTCCCCTCCGACCCTGCCGATTCCTTCTCGTTATGCCCAACGTCGGAACCAACCGATCTCGCACACAAAGCAACCTCCATCCTTACAAGCACTGGGCGGCTCCCCGCGCCCTCCTCGTTCTCGGTTGCACACGCCAAGAAATGTGGGTTGTCAAAAAGCATATCCTACCAGGCCGGATTGGGGGGATGAGGGGCGGAGGAGAGAACCCGTCTGGTCCTCGTCCCTCCCAGCCAGTCAATTCAGCGCCTTGCCATGTCTTGAACCCGTTTGCGGTGGGCGCGCCGACCTGCGAAGCCCCTACTCGTTTTCTCTCTCTCTCTCTTTTTTTTTTTCCCCCTTTCTCTTTCTCTTTCTCCCTGCCGGTTGAGCTACAGCCGTGCGGCAACAGCAAAGCGGCGGGCAAATATATATATATATGTACATCCAAGGGACAGTCGCGCAGACTGCAAAGAGAGCCAGTTGCACCAGTCCAGAGAAACGAACAGCTGCAGCGGCGGCGGGAGCACCAAGCAACTTACAGGCTTCACTCACCCTCGGCCACTCGCTTTCTCGAGCGCGCGAGCACGCGCGCGAGTAGATCCCGAGCTCGCGCTAACCTTCCTGCATGCGCCGGCTCAGCAGCAGGAACTGCAACAGCGGCGGCAGCTGCCACCCGGAGGCAGGCAGAGACGGCGGCAGCGGCAGCAGCTGGTTGGGGCACCGAGGCGCCTCTCCTGTGTTTCAAGGCGGCCGCAGCACCTGTGACCGCTTGTCACCTAGGAGCGCCCGCCTTCAGCGGCGCTTTCTCCTCCTCTCTCTCCTCCCTTCACTCTCCAGTAGCTGCGTCGCCCCCTGACGGGGAAACTGTTCGGTCTCGACGCCAGCCTTACCCAGAAAAGGGAATGGGAGACGAGGCGGCGGCGGCGGCTGCTGCAGGCTTCGAAGGAGGTTGCCTCTTCTCGCCTCGTCAGCAAGAGCAGCCCCGCTGAAAGAATGCAGAAGGAGCCGAGGTCCCGGCCTTTCTTAAGAGAGGCAGGTCGGCTCAGTTGGCAGCAAGCGAGGCGCTGCCTCCGCTTGCCTTAGGAGTGAGCGGCGTGGCCTAGGGGTTGTGTGGATGCAGAGGGAGGACGACCCCGGCACCGCGCTACTACAGGACTGAGTGGCCAGAGGTGGAGTGACGTCATTGGGTTCTGGGCTAGTGAAGTCTTTACTTCTGGGACGAACTGGGCGGTAGGAGAGCTTGAGGATCCTGATAGGGAGAGTACAGTAGAATAGCAGCCTCTAATCACGTTGGAAATTGCCTCTTAACTGCTTCTACACTATTAGAAACCTTCACACCCACAAGTTTGAGAAAATGAGAATGGAATGGTATGGAATAACTGAGTTGGAAGGGACCTTGGAGGTCTTCTAGTCCAACCCCCTGCTCAGGCAGTATACCATTTCAGACAAATGGTTGTCCAATCTCTTCTTAAAAACTTCCAGTGTTGAAGCATTCACAGCTTCTGGAGGCAAGTTGTTCCACTGATTAATTGTTCTGACTGTCAGGAAATTTCTTCTTAGTTCTAAGTTGCTTCTCTCCTTGATTAGTTTCCACCCGTTGCTTCTTGTCCTATCCTCAGGTGCTTTGGAGAATAGTTTGACTCCCTCTTCTTTGTGGCAGCCCCTGAGATATTGGAACACTGCTATCATGTCACTCCTACTACTTCTGTTCATTAAACTAGACATATCCAAGAGGATAGTCCTTCAAAGGTTTTTATCTTTTAGGTGGGTAGCTGGGATCTTGCAGGCATATTCCTTTCTCCCTTGGTTATTGACATGCAGTGGAATGTAGTATTGGCCAATCTCTCCTTACTTTAAAAGTTCTCAACTCGGAACCAGTTGGAAGCAATTACCAATATTCCAGTAATGTTCTTGACTTGCTCTGTCAGGCCTTCTTTTGGGGAAAGATTCATGATCCAAACCTAAGTAATACTTAAAATCAGGGGAAGAAACTTCAAATACATTCCATGAACATAAGGTTTTAGCTGGATTCTGATGCATACAACCACCACTGTCAGACTCCAGGCCAGATGCATCACGTGCTGGCCATGCCCCCACCTCAGTTTAGCAAAGGAAAAAATCCCGATACGCCGCAGTGATGACATGAGTTTGACACCACTGGTGTAGTGATAGTGATACAATAGTAGAATTGCTAGATTTAATCCACACAACCACCATGCTTTCCATCTTAAATTCTCTTTTATGTCTTGCCTTTACATTATGAAAACATCTCAATGCATAAATAAATATTGGCATGATTTTGATGCAAACAATTAAAGTAAGTTATAAATAATGTAGGTATGACTCCAACTGTATTTATTGACAGTTTGCTTGCACTTGATTTAAAAAAAAATACTTGAAGAAAACATTCACTTTCATATTTTTGAATCAATTCACAAAATGAAACTTGAATAGTACTTGAAATTCTCATTCATTCATATTGTTGTTGTTGTTTTTTTTTTACCAAATACAATTCTAGGGTCGCCTGACTTCAGAACTACTCTGGGTTGTTTACAAATTAAAAACTGAAGAGACCTCATAACATCAAAAATGGCAGTAGTCATAGGGAGGATACACTCTCTTTTTCACTTAGCACCCAACTTAAAGGAGTCTGACAATCCCTCTAGTTTAAGACCTGGAAAAAGAGCCATGTTTTGAAGACTCTTTTAAGATAGGCAGAATAAGAGCAGTTCAAATCTCATCTAGGTTGCTCTTGCAAAGGGCAAGTGCTACAACAGAGAAGGCACATTTCCCGAATCCTGCTAGATGACAATTTAATTGATGGAATCCAGAGCATGCAAATCTCTGATTGTATCTAGTGGGAAAGAACCATGGGAATATATGGTCTCTTAGATAATTAGGCCCTATGTAATGTAATACTGTATAAATGTTAATAAGTACCTTGAGTTACCTATAAGTAACCAGTGCAGCTTACATTTGACAAAACCTGAAAGAGATGAGCATAGCAATATTTGTCCATCACTACTTGCATTGCCACACCTGCAAGCTTCCAAGGGATATTCAAAGGCAACTCAATGTAGAGTTCTCTGGAATAGTCTACAGATGAGATGACTAAGGCATGAATTACTCTAAAGAGAGTCAAGAGATTCAGGAATGGGCACAAGATGGATCTGTCAAAGACTTCACTAGCTATAAATGCCACTTTTTATTTGATTTATATGCTGCCCTTCTCCGGAGACTCAGGGCGGCTTACAATGTGCTAAGCAATAGCCTTCATCCTTTTGTATATTTATACAAAGTCAGTTTATTGCCCCCACAACTGGGTCCTCAATTTACCTACCTTAGAAAGGATGGAAGGCTGAGTCAACCTTGAGCCTGGTGAGATTCAAACCTGCAGTAATTGCAGGCAGTTGGTCTTAATAACAGGGTGCTTTAGACCACTATACTACCAAGGCTCTTTAAACAGGAACTGAGAGGCTAGGAACCCTCCCACATTGGGCACCAGGCCTTAATAAAAAAAGTGCAGCCCATTCAGCCCCAAAGGTAACCCCACTCCCTAAGCAGAGTAGCTCAAGAACCCACAGCTGAGCCGGAGCCTATTCCTCTCCAGCCCCCCTCCCCCAGTTTCCAACCAGTAGTGGGTTTCAATTTTGGCCACTACCGGTTTGCGGGCATACACGTGCTTGCGCAGAGACATCCGGGTGGGTGGGCAGAGTCTCCCGCCCCTGCCACTACTGGTTCACCCAATCCAGGGTGAACCGGTAGCAACCCACCCCTGTTTCCAACCCCTAGTAGCCTCCAGGCACTTGACAACATTCTTGGCTAGTTGGTTGAGATAAACAATTGGGTCATATTCATATTCATATGAGTCCCTAGGGGGAGAAGGGCAGTATATAAATTCAAATATAAAATAAATAAAATATTAATATTTATTATAATGTAAGAGCTCTCCCATACCCCCTATGATTCTGGCAGGTGCACATATATCAACCAAGCAAGTAAATCAATTCTTACATATAAATTTTCTTTCTACATGTTTTCTTTAAAATGTAGTGTGTTTTAGGCTTCCATTATGTGAATAGTTTTGGCTCCCTAATAGTATGCCTGGAAAATATTCAGAAATGGTTGGGATTTAAAGAAAAAACACTTTGTATTTATTGGAGACACACTTCATGGAGAAACATTCATCATAGCTAATGCTGAATCAAGCTTTTGACACATGCAATTTTATAAACATTGGCATTCATATAGATCTGTTTTAAAAATGGCCTGGTCATTTTTGAAATGGCAAAGGAAATAGTGCCAATTTAAGAGGAATAACATTAGCTTCATCAGAATGGAAAAAAAGGAAAGGGAAAATAAAGGAAAGGAAGGAAGGAAGGAATAGATATTTCTTCCTAGATATTTCTAGCAGGTTACTGGATAGAAGATGCATTAAAAGTGTTAGAAATTTTTATAAATACTGTGAATACTTCTTAGCTAACATTCTTTAATTTTTTCCAATAAATTTCTATTGGCAAACACCTAGACTACACTTTTGACAGTTTTATTAAAGTTTATTTTTCAAAATATGTTACCTTTGGCAATGGCAATCCAGTGCCAAATGGCAATGGAATGAAAATATAAAATACGCTGCAAGTCTTATTTAGACTAAGAGATTTTTTTAAAAAAAACATTTCCACATAACATATTCATGCCAAGTTCAAGCATCAGGAATAAAATACACGTAACTTCTTTTACCTCAGACGTGAAACAGTATTTTTCCCACATATAGATACATACCTTTACTTGACTTTTATGTTTGAAATATAGTTCATTCTCCTCACTGCAAAAAATTAACATGAATTAAAATAATTTAAAAATGTTTTTAATTGTGCTAAGAGAATATAAATATGTTATAATCGGTTCAGAGACACTGATATGAGCTAATGTTAGTTGGCTTCCCAGTTTGAAGGTACAACTTCATTTTGCATCACTCTAAACCTGCAACAATATGTACAAATAAAATTCCATGGGGGGGGCTCTTAACAAAGAATTTTAAAACTAGCTTTGGCGTTTATCAGAATATCAATAAGCAGACACACGAGAGCATCAAAATTCAATTTTATGTACTTTAGCTATCTGAAGAGAAATAAGCAAACTTTATGTCTTGTGAAAGATTTTTTACAGAGATTATTGTAATAATGAAATGAAAAATGGAGACAGTCACAGGAAAGTTCCTTGATTTACTTCTAATAACATCTAAAGCCACCTCCTTATATAGCATTCTCAAAATGCTTCTCATTCTTTTAAAAGCATAATGCAGATGAATATCTCATTAATGGATATTAAATACTCTAATAATGTTCTTTGAGTCTAAAGAAAAATAGTATACATGATTATACATGGCGTTACATTGTTGTGCATTCAAGATATTTCTAATAAAGTATATTGCAATAAAAGTTGAAAGTAAATGTTTTCTTCAGGTTAAACCTGGCTTCAGGTTAAACTTTGGCAACACACTTTGAACTGCAAAA